GCTGCAGGGTAAAAGCTGTGCACACATACCTGTAGTCATAGAGACATGGGATTTATGAAACCCACAGAGTATAATTCAGCGTTTCCTCTTTTTGTAGGTGGTCTATGTGGCCCGCAATGCAAAAGACAATGCAGTGTCCTATTTTCACTTTGAACGCATGAACGGTGGCATGCCAGAACCAGGAGACTGGAGCACCTTCCTGCAGGACTTCATGGCGGGAAAGAGTGAGTTTAATTTACTTTTAGAGTTAAGGACAAAAAATATTATCACATTTACTGTTTCAACATTCCTTTGTGTGTTGTTCTGTGTCTGCAGAGGTTTTTGGATCGTGGTATGACCATGTGAATGGCTGGTGGGAGAAGAAGCAAACTCATTCAAATTTTCACTACATGTTCTATGAAGATTTGATTGAGGTACAGTAAATTTGGCTAACATGTGTGCCATTTTTGACAGAGATCTTAATATTTCAAATTATCATATAACAAAGGATGTTAAACATGAGGCTGCCAGGCAGGAGGAAAATATGAAAACCACAAAGAGTATTCATGGATTTAGTAAAAGAGGACATGTGTGTATGATAGAGGAGGATGCTAGGGATAGGGGAGATGATCCACTGTGTCATCCATTGCAAACAAAAAGTGGCACAAAGTCAGTCCCTGAAATAATTTGCATCTTGAACCTATTTGTCACACCTACTGACCGACTTACTGTCCTCATAAATGTTGTGCACCACCCTCACAAACTACTGTGCCTCCCCTGAATTCCTCATAGAGTACCACAGACCTCTCTTGTCTCCCACAAATGCCTTCTCCACATCCACAAAGATACAGAGCAACTAGTTTTGACCTTCTCTACACTTCTACATTAACACTCTCCAAGCAAACATTACATCTGTAGTGCTCTGTCTGCTGCTCTCACTGCTGCTCGGTGATCGCCACCTCTCTTCTTAATCTAGCTTCAGTCACTCTTTCCCATATGTTCATGCTATGGATCATTAACTTTATCCCTCTGTAGTTACCACAGCTCTGTATATCCCCCTTGTTCTTGAAAACACATCTTCTCCATTTCTCAGGCAACTCTCACTCTCCAAGATGTTAAACAATTTCATTAAAAAGTCCACTCCTCTCTCTCGTTGACATCTCCATACCTCCACAGGTACGTCATCTGGACCACCTGCCTTTCCACTCTTCATCCACTTCATAGATGCACTACTTCTTCTGCATGTCCTGATTCACTATAAGTCCTCAATCCAATCTCCTTCCTCTCTTCTCTTCATTCATTAACTCAGCATATTCTCCTCTTGTTAATACATTTCTGTCTCTATCCTTAAAAGCCCGCCTAACCAATCGATAGGCGTTTATTGTTAACCCAGCCCCTGACCTGTTTGGTATGGAAATCTTAATTTTGAAAATCTGCATATTTGATTTGGCAAAGATTGGGTTATGTCTGAAAACTGTAG